TAGTCAGTGATATGGAGGTTCAAAGCACAGAACATTTAGATTAGAATCACTACTCAACACTAAATAAGCTAGTTCTTTACAAACAAAACGATTTTTCGGACACTAAAAATCTTGAAAATCTAATGCATACTCCATTTTAAACACTTGTCCTCATAGATGTATTCGAACATTACGATAGCTACCATAGAAATGAGAATGTAAGAATTTGGGTGGAACTTCTGAGATATCTCAGTTGAATATACGAGTAGATGAAATTCAAGGAGATGGTTTTGTTTGGAGACTAATTCATTCTACTTTTGAAAATCATATTAATATGACGAGGGGGGATAAATAAGTCTTTACAAAAAGAAGAGAAAAAAAGTTCTGCGTATGTAATTTTTTTTTATTTTTCAACATAATCTCCTTGAAGGTCGATACATTTTATTAAACGGCCTTCTAGTTTTTTTAACCATCAGAAAAATATGATTTCTGAAAACCCTCAAAATAGGCATTTGTTTCGGCGATGACTTCTTCATTCAACGTGAATCGTTGTCCGGCAAGCCATTTTTTGAGGTTAGGAAATAAGAAAAAGTCACTGGGAGCCTAATCAGGCGAATGTGATGGATGGTCAATTAATTTGAACTTTAAATCGTTAATTTTTGCCATCGAAACTGCACACGTGTAAACTCGAGCATTGTCTTGAAGAAAGAGGCATTTTTTTTGTTCAAGTGAGGACGTTTTTGTCTCATTTTTTCTTTCAGCTAACCTAATAATGACGCTTTATATTGTCCAGTGATCGTCTGGCCCTTTTCCAAGTAGTCGATGTAGATGATTCCATACGCATCCTAGAAAACCGTGGCCATAATCTTGCCAACTGACTTTACTGTCTTTGCCTTCTTTGGGGCTGGTTCTCCTGCGGTAATCCATTGTTTGGACTATTCTTTGGTTCCAGGAGTGTAGTGGTGTATCCATGTTTCGTAGTCGACGCCCAAAGTCTTCCGGATTACGACGAATGTATTCGTATTTCCGGGTATATCCCTCACGGCGGATCATGTTAGATAATTTCGATAATTTCGCCCGAAATCTATGAGTTAGCTAGAACTAATAAACATCGTATGGTTAGAGTGCAGGTTTCCGAGATTAAACGTTACGTATCGCCACGAAAGTAAGTATATGATTTATCAGGCAAAACAGGTGTAGTGACATATAATTTGATTTAAAGTTTAATCAACGCCGGAAATTGATAGCTGAGGAAACTGAAAAGTCAAGCCGTATTTTTCAGGTTTCTGCGATTTAGGAGTCGACGGGTGTTTGGATGGCTTCGACACATCCACCAGAAGCTGCTGAGGTTATGGAAGTAAACTAGATGTTGAAACCTGCCGCCACAATTTCGAACGTAGGGCAGGTGGCCTCTGATGATACCGAGTTGTCTCCTGTATCTCGTAGTTAGCTCGAGCATTGGTTGGCGGGTCTGAGGGCGGAAAGGTAGAGGGACAACCTTTGTCATCGCCACTGCCTTCGCCATCAACGCCGTTTGTAAGCGATCAGCTCGAAGTTCGTTTGCTGACGGGAGGTAGAAGAACAGAGACGACGATATGTTTTACCACGCCTACGCATACATGGGATGAGGTCGTACATCGGAGCCCAGCCTTCCGGATTACGACGCTTTGTAGTCGCGAGGCGGCGAAAAATTTGAGGTTTATATCAGCTGGAAAAGAGTAGCCCAGGTGAAAAATACCGGGTTTTCAATCTGTCGTGGCTGGGCGCTTCTCAGGAAGAGCTGCAAATAGAAGCCGCGGGCGATGATTGGTAGAAGGCCTACAGTTGCTTATTGCAAGGTGCCACCAACGATATTCTGGAGGTGGTGTTGAGTTCGAGCGACTCAGAAGAGGAAAAGGTTCAGGCTCGAGAGCTGCCTCGGGTAGCTCCGCAGCCGCACATTCACGCTCCCCTTCCTTAAAAGCCACTTGAACGGCAGAGACTGCACCTGTTGTACTAGTTTGTCCGACGAGGTGGGCTTGTGCGTTTTCCATTGGCTGGTTGTAGGGAAGACGAGAGGAAGCAAGAGGCTGAGGCCCGTAAGAACATGGGTAAAAGGAAGCGCTCGATCTGATTCAACCTGTCTGTGTGTAATTTGAGAGGCCATCTTCCGATCGGACGTCGTCGATACCTCGGGCGGCAGAGAGGGCTATTGTGGAGACAATAAGCACCCTCACACCGCCGGTAATTTCAGTGGATGTCATGGTGCAGGCCTCGAGAAGTAAACCGATTGTACCGAAGCAGCCGACCCTCTCGCTGGTCCAATCTACCCTATCTCCCCAAATAGTGAGCTTAGTTTCGCCTTCTGAGATGCCGAGCAGGGTAGACAAGACGGGCATGAGGTTGGTGCGGGGAACCTTCATTCGTGGCCTAGCGCCGGTACCTTGGAATGAGAAGTTGAATGTGCTGTCGTTCCATTGCTTCAACTGCGGAATGGGGGCACATTCACGGATGACCTGCCTTAATCCGCCTTTAGTCCGTCGAGTGTGCAAAAACTGTGGGTGACTCGATGTGCTTATCCATTGCTGCCTGCGCTGCCGTGGTCCTTGTGCAGCTGATCTGACGAGAGCAAGGACGGTGATGGAAAAAAGGCTTGGGATCAACTGCGGAAGTCGCTGAGACTCCAGACTGCGCCAGTAGAAATGGCAGAACCGGAGTTAATGGTTCCTGGGTTAGTTAGTCATCGCTCGGAGAGCCCAGAATAAAGAAGCCACAGCGCAGGTATGGAAAACGGTACTCCTATTTCACCAAGTCAATCAGCCCGAAGAAGACAAGGTCAGATTTTCATCTCTCTAATCTCTCCCGCCATGGCAGACTTGTGATCGCGGTAGATTTGAGTACGGTAATGCTCGGTAGCCAGGCGTTCACCCGGTGGGTAGCTCGCACCTAAGTCATTCCGGTTGACAACATCGTAGTTTGTAACTAGTCATGCGTTCGCTTCTGTTCTTTCCATAATTAGTATGAGAGATTTATATTGAGTTTGTTCGTTTGTTGTTTGTTAATAGGTAGAAATAAAATTTTGCATTTGATAAGCGGTGTAGGTAATTATTTGTGGAACTATTTCCTCTCTTTCCTCTTTGATTACTGAGAGCGAAAGGGCATCTTTTATCTCCCTTAAAGAATTGATAGCAAAAGCGTATCGATGACGCGCCTATCTGTTACAACTGCTTCTTCAGATAATAAGATATTATGTTATGTTCTTGACAAAAATTCTATAGAAAATAGCTTAGCCGTAGAGATAAGATCAGGATGGTATAGCCGAAACCCCAGTTTATTCGTAAAATTGACATGTGCTGATATACAAGTTTTTCCTGAAAAGACAGTAAAGATCTAACAAAATTATTCACTGGAACATATCAAATGCAGCAGGCGATATTCTACTTGGCTGAAATGATGGGTGTGACAAATGAGTTTAATGTAGGCTATTGTAAAATATCATCTGATCTTCTCAAAGCAGAAGAACAATCAAGACATAGATACAGTGTACAAATACTATATCCATTATAAACCAGATTCTCTAGGTTGAGCTGGCATTTTACGCTATTACTGTAAGTGCACTAATGGCGAGAAAAGAATCGGTTGTTATTCTTATATTGCTGCCGTTATTTACTATTTATCATATGCTAGAATGCAATCCTACATTGTAAATCCTATAGAATATCTCACAAGGATCTATGAACAAGATAATATGATTCCTGTTATTGAAGAAGATAGTGATGAGGATTAATATAGATCAATATATTTTTATTGTTGTAAAAAGGTGATAAAATATTTCATAGATAAAGAAAATTGTTTATTCAAGATTATATTAGTCATCGCATTATTCATTGACTATTTTCTATTAGTAAAAATGATTTTTTTTTAAATATATTAAAATTTAAGAACCTTAAGATGATTTTCTAGTGGTTTTTCGCTTTTAACGATTTGTGAGTGAGTTATATGGTAAAATGGATAGCGTGAAAAAATACATCTAAAAGATATATTACACTTTCATTGTCCATACCATTATAGAAGTATAAATCAATGATCCAATTTCCAACCTTTGATTTAGAAGTGTAACATATGGGTAATTGCACTACTTATGATGTAATGGTGTTAATTATAAATGTGTGGTATATGTTTTCCATGTATGTTTTGATGTAAAATATAATAGAGCTATTCATTTTACCATACAATTTGAATGTACAGCGCTAGAAGCGAAAAACTAAAAAAAAAATGGTGAAATTTTTAGAAAGTTATGAAAATGTGAATTTTGCACCAAAAATTGTTTAGTTCAGACAGTTTTGTGGGGATTAAAAACCCCTACAGAATAAATAAGAAATTTTTTTCTAACTCAAAAAATGACCGAGATATCGTTACAAAATCCCCAACACAAAATAAGATCTAGTACTACCCTAGGTTAATATAGGGATCTAAAAATTTAACAAAAGAGGTTTCTAAACATGCTAGACATAATGACCTATTTACTTTTCCAGTGAGCTCTAAGGGCATTCTGACCATCTTATTCGGTCAAACCTGAATTAATTATGTAGATTTTTAAAACTTGTTGATTTAACTTTGGAACGATGTTTATCTTTCCCTTATTAAATTAAAATCACCTAAGATTTAAATTCAGCGAAATATATAACAAATCATCAGAAATATAGAAAACAATAATAACTACTCTGATTTGTACTGAATGGCATTTAGGATTTATTTCGTACATCACCTGATCATGCAACATTGTACTGATTTTTTGACCTATGACGATCTCTAGCGCTTCGGGTATTTATTTTGGTGAGTTGGGACCACAAGAATTTTTATTCAGGGCCCCAAGGCCCTTTTTTCAAAGTTTTTATCTATTTGACCGAAAGAGTTTTTCACTTTTGTCGTATGCAGAATATTTTAGAGTATTTATAATAATTGTTAATTAAGAATCTTCGACACTTCTTCAATTTCCAAATTGTTTCGAAATTTTTTTTAACGCTTTTTCTTTTTTTTAGGATACTTTCAACGAAGAAGACGCAACTGGGATACCATCTATTGAATTAGATTACGGGCAACTTGATGGAGATGAAGATTAGATAAATATTATCATAGGAGGCAGGCAATAGTGTATTTGCTTAAAATATATTGAATAATTGTACAAAATGAAATTTGTCAGATATACCGAGTGAAAATTTGCTCTCATATAATTCAATTTACATTACTTATTATTTATATAAATATATTTCATGGTGATCTATTTCAACGAGTAGAATAAGACAAGAGAGTTGTATTCATTGTCGTTTGCTGCGTGATTGATTGAGATGTGATGTGCACTTGAAAAAAAAGAAAAGATTAGGTCATACGCTGTTTTTGAGATCTCTTATGTAAAATATTGAATTGTGTCAATTATAATATACGTATCACACGTATTCGCAGTATAGTTCATTTGTTCAAGTTTATTAAGAGTTGTATGCTGGCATATTTGTTGTCTACTATGTCAGTTTGCCTATCGTTTTCGTGAGTCGATTTTTCTGACTTGCGAAATTGCACTATTCTTTCAAGATCATATCCAGAGCACCCACGACAACTTCATATTTATTTACTGGCTTGTAAGTTCTTCTTGTAAAGGATTTTGTAATGCCATTAAATATTTGGAGAAATAATAGACAAAATGAAATATCTCGTGGTAGAAAATGACAGAAAAATTAATCTAACTGCATTTTTTAAATTATGTAATGCTAATAGAGGAAAATAAGTCCGATTATTTTAGATTAAGTTATTGACTGTTGTAGTGAAAGTTATAGTTTGACGTTTTCGAAAAAAAAGTTTATAAATGGGAAAAAAATGACAAGTAATGTATCAATTTTAATCTTATATTCATATTCAGTAAATTAAAATGTATGATATCTGTATGATTCAGACACTTTCTTTTCGTGCCACAGTGAAATTAAATATAGTGAATATTTTTTACATTAGTAAAAAATATTAATTATTAATATTATTAATATTTGTTACTAATGTAATTTTATGCGTAAAAAAAATCTCTGAGTAGAAAATATTTTTTTAATAGTAAAAAATGAAATTAAAACAACGATAATTTCCAACTACTGCATAACATTGGCACACAAAATAATCTCTAACAAAAAAATCCCCAACTCGACCTTAACAATTTCAATATTTTCTTGATACAATGTAGTACTCAACAAAATAAGAGATACGTAATTGTATTTGTGACAACATCCACTTTTACGGATAGAAAACCATCCGTAAAGTTTCCGACAATCGTTCTCTTATTATGCTTCAGCATATGATGAATAGCTGTGTGTGTTTTTTTTTCGAAAAGTTGAAGAATACTTTACGCACCATAATGAGACATCGGGACTCACCGTGTATGGAACTCTCCTAGAGTAAGGCCTCAGTTGTGTAAATAAAACTGTGACTTTTTCCCCGGCCTATCCACTAAACTCCTAACTCTTTTTACCTAATCCCGCGGCCGGTATGACATGACAGCTGACTCTTTCCGCTTCTCTTCTGATGAAATCTATCCGGTCCTCTACCGATGTATCCATAATAAGAGCTGAGGAGACATATGTCTAAGCCCTTGGGGGTCCAGGGGCCCTTCCATGAAGCTTAGAAGTGACTCCGTTCTTCCTTAAACTGAGGGTACTGGAACAGCACATGCCCCACATCCTCGATGACATTAAGATAGGCCAGGCATTCCGGGTCACTAATTATTTTTATACGGTAAAGGTAACTGCGGAATTTGCTGTGGCCTGTCAACATCTGTGTAAATTGAAAAGTGACGAAGCCGTGGTTTCTGCTCGGCTAACAATAAGTCCTATCTACATTATCATTCCGTCATCGTCTTGTTTGTCCATCGGGCGTCACGTTGGTCATCGTCAGATCACCGGCCTTCGCAATATCTCACAGCTCTTTAAACTGCCAACAAGTCTACCCGCTACCACGACAGAGCAATGTCTGATATAGTACGATAGGCACATGTCACCCGTAGCGCGGCCATCCTGCAGGCTCTCCGGCATGCAGCCCCACACCCTTGATGTTTCTGTAAGGCGTCAGCCCAAATCAAAGTTCCATACAGAATGACAGAATTTATTACCGATGAGAAGAGGGACCTTCGTGGTTGCTTTGGTCCCCCTATATTAGGCATGATGCCTGTAAGTGCATGGGCTACATCAGTAGCCTTTAAAGGCTGCATTCTCGAAATGTTCTTTGAACAATAGCCGCGTATCGAGGATAACACCTAAATGTTTAATGGTTTCTACCGACCGTATCCGTTTTCCCTTTACTGTAAAGTTGGCATACCTTTTCATCTTTGTCCTGGAAGTGAGCAAAGCTTTAGTCTTTTCAGCCGTCAGAAGTAAGCTTTGGTATCTCAACCAGTCGGCTACTACGAACCGTGACAGAGACATCTCCGAGATATTCTATCTCTTCGATGATCTTTGCGATTACTAGCGCTACATCGTCCGCGAAGGCCACTATCGCGACACTCTCCGGTACCTGCAGCTTAAGCAATTCATCGTACACAATGTTCCAGGGTAGCAGTCCGAGGACCGAACCTAACCCTGCGGCACACCTGCTGAGATGTTATAAGAGTGAATGCCGTCCTCGATGTTAGAGAATAGATGTTATAGAATATAGTCTGCGAGATAGCTCGAGACGACCTTCCTGAGGTAAAGCAGCACCCTGAAATGCTCTAGAGACAACATAATGTTATCTCACCTAGCCGAGTTGAAAGGATTTCGGATGTCCAACACGATTATAGCGTACATATGCCTGGTACTCCTTCCACTGTTGATGGTTTTTGTAGCAATGTTCACAACTCAGCCTATCGTGTCTATGATTGAAGGACCCTTCCTGAAGCCGAACTGATTGTAGGACAAATCCCCTGCTCGGTGTATGGCCGCCTTTGTCCTGGTATAAATCACGCGCTCAAAGAGCTTCTCTACTATGTCTAACATACATAGTGGTCGATACGAGGATGGCTTTTCAGGAGGTATATTTCCCTTAGGAAGGAGGACCAACCTCTGAGCCTTCCACTGTGATGGAAAACATCCTTCTGCTAGACAAACTGAACATATTCCGAAATACGAAAGAAGAATTCACCGCCGCGGTCCTTATAGCCAGCCCTGGGATTCCATCTGATCCTGTGGCTTTTTGGATAGATATTCTTGAGGCATCCCCTCAGCTCGGATTCACTCACTTCCGGCGACTCGGCTGCGTGGTTTGCCGTCACCAGCCCCAGTCAGATATCACCCGCCCGTTGCCTGTATTTAGGAAACAAGTGTTGCATGATCCTATCCAGTAGGTGCATAATCGCCATATATAGTCTGCCCCATGGATAATGGTCCAATTCTTCGCAGAAACTCTCTGCCAACGCTTTCTTTTGGTCTTTTTGATGGCGGCTTTCAGTTCCTTCCGCTTTCTCTCATAAGACATGATTAGCTCTTCATATCATGGCTTGTTCCAAACTCTCTGATGCAGCCTTTGAGCCCGCAGGTACTCCCGTCTTAATTACGAGGGTGGTCCGATAAGTACTTAGCCTCACCGCCCGATGGCACCACTCTCGCAAAAGAAATATTCTATCATGTAGTACAACCTTCTCCATGGTTACTGTCAAGATTTCATCCGGATCGGAGTTGTAGTTTATTTTTTAGAGCATGTGAAAGCAAGTATGTCCGTTGATTTTTGAAAAATGGAAAAAGAGCAGTATCGGTCGGTGATTCGATTCTTGTTTTTGGAAGGGAAATCGCGCAGCGGAATCAAAAAGCGCTTGGATGCTGTGTACGGTGACTCTTCTCCTTCGATGGCGACCGTCAAAAATTGGTTTAACGAGTTTCACCGTGGTCGCACGTCGATTTTTGAAGAGCCACGTCCAGGTGCTCCGAAAACGGCTACCACGGAGGATAACGTGACAAAAATTCACAATCTCGTATTGGCAGATCGACGATTGAAGTTGCACGAGATAACTAAGATCGTAGGCATCTCAAAAGACCGCGTGGGTCATGTCCTGCATGAAATTTTGGGCTGCATGAAATGATGCTCACTCCGGACAACAAGCGCAACCGTGAGACAACTTCAGAGCAATGTCTAACGCTGTTTAAGCGCAATCTAAAGGAATTTCTGCGTCGTTACGTGACAGTCGACGAAATATGGATCCACTGGTATACACCAGAGATCAAAAAACAGTCGAAACAATGGATTTTACCCGGCGAAAGTGCTCCGAAGAAGACGAAGACTATCCCATCGGCCGGAAAGGTGATGGCCACCGTTTTCTGGGATTCACAAGGTGTGATCTACATCGACTACCTGGAGAGGGTCAAAACGGTCACAGGGCTGTACTATGCCGAATTATTGGGCCGATTCGACGTCGAATTGCAGAAAAAACGGCCCCATTTGGCGAAGAAAAAAGTGCTCTTCCACCATGACAACGCACCGGCTCACACCTCCGCCGTCGCCATGGCCAAATTGGTCGAATTAGGCTACGAACTGCTGCTCCATCCATCGTATTCTCCAGATTTAGCCCCGTGCGACTTCTTTTTGTTTTCAAACTTGAAAAAGTCACTCGCCGGGCAGAAATTTGAGTCGAATGAGGAGGTAATCGCTGCCCCGGAAGCCTACTTTTCAGACCTCGAGGAAACGTATTTTTCAGACGGGTTAAAGAAGTTGGAGCATCGCTGGGCCAAGTGTATCGAATTAAAAGGAGACTATGTTAAAAAATAAAACGTCACTTTTCCAAAATTTTCGTTTTTCTTTTGTAGGCTAAGTACTTATCCGACCACCCTCGTATATATGTCTCCGTTCCACCAGTAAAACTAGTTGGCGGTCGTGAGAATTGATTCGCACGGCCATAGAGGCATAGTAAGCCGCTGATAAGGCTCTGGTTAGTGCATTGGCTCTTTCCTCCGGTCTTTCTTCAATTATTGACCCTTCCAGAGAGCAAAGGGACATTTCCTGGTCGAAGGTTATTGTAGCCCATCTCTGCTCTGTCTCTTTAGCAACCTCTTCTGCTGACTTGCTAGATGTGTGAACTGGTACACGATGGCTTGATGGTCGCTGACCATATAACTAACTAACTACATTTTCAGTCAATCGATGGACTAGGATCGACGAAGGTGAAATCGACTATCGACGACTTACTAGCCCTCCAGAAGGGTGGAATCGGGTCTTCGTTAGCAATCTCCAGCTCCAGAGTTGAGAAGACCTCAAGGAGTGTGCTACCACGTGAGTTTGTTCTTACACTTCCCTACTCGGTCGTCCAGACGTTAAAATCCCCCCTAATTACCATTGGCAATCGAGAAGATCTGGCACTTGTTACAATGGCATCCATGGACCTCAATTACTCCTGGTCATCGTCCTCGCTTCCATTACTTCTGGGCGGGAGATAACAACTGTATAAAAGCATACCGGCTTACCTCCACGCAGGTGAATCAGGGAAAGGGGATTTTCATCTTTTTGGCTATCTGTGTAAATTATCATATACCTAGATAGCCACCCTGCCAGAAGCTTCCCTCACCCAACCAGGCTTATTAAGGTCCTTGTAGTCCTCGCTTATGATGTCAATGTCGATTCTCTCTTCTCTAACCAACTATGAAAGCAGTTTTTGGGCTACTTCGCAGTGGTTGAGGTTAATCTGGAGCACCTTAGCCATTTTTGGTTGGTGCTTCTATTTTCGAGGCTACACTTTTCATAGTGGCAGAATGCACTGCCACTAAAAAAGGTGTATGTGTATGTATGTGTGTGCACGTGTGCATGCTTACGTGTGATTGTATACGTATGTTTATATATACATATATACATATACTGCAACGGTAGTCGATTCAATTAATCGCACCGTTCGCGATTCTGAATTTCGCGCGTTAGTTC